AGAATAAAAAAAAACTTGACTATTCAAAAGTGCTTATATTAAGTTTATTTGAATAAAGATTATTTCTATTTCTATTTCTATTTGTGGGTTGGTAATTTATGATGATAGTCATTTAAAAACACATTAATAATAGTCGACACTGTTCTAAGTCGGTTTAAAAAGAAAAAGTTTTTTATAGTTGTTTATATGGTAAAGTGCTATATTTTTAGTTGCATGTCTAAACTGTATTATGAAGAGGAAATTTTTGTTTTTTTTTGCAACGTACTACTCGCCCCGTCGCTCGCATGGATATACATATATTATATAGGTACCTTCCTCTTAATTTACTATATGTATTCAAAAAACCCTGGAAAATATCGTGATAAATTAGTAATCTATAATAATAATAATAATAATAAGAATAAAAACACTTTACATCACCATTCAAAAGGCTGCCATCTTAAATACCTGTCGTACAGTCCGAAAATTTCTCGAAATCGATGAAAAGGATATATCACCAGTCACACCAGGCACACAATAAGTACACACACACTCACACATACATACACGCGCACACACACATACACACACTCTGCACTTACTTGGTTTCGGCCCGTAAGTGTGGAGAATACCAGCAAAAGCTGAGAAAAAAAAAAAAAATAATAATAATCTCAGGACAATTCACTCGCGCCATCTAGACCCAAGTTAAGCTAGCTACCTACATCTTGTGTTATGGGTATTAGATAACTGATACAAATATAAAGATATATATTTTATTCGTAAATATAATAGATACATATTATAACATAGAAACACCCAGACCGATACAAAAGATCATACTCATGAATACAAATGTCTGTTCCGTGCGAAGAATCGAACTCGCGACCATCGGAAGTAAGGCTGTGTCCACTACACCACCGAGGCCGTAAAAATCCAAATGCCTGTCGTACTTGTCACAATGGACAATTTTTTTTCTTTTAACAATAGAATGAAAAGAAAAAAATATATGTATATACTTTCAACTATAACTAGACTGTCTGTGAATAATGAAACGTATTGTACGTGGGTAGCACTTCAAGATATAGCTAGTATATTAAATATATATTAATAATATATAATATCAATTACAATTGGAATTTGATGAGTCTTTTTGCATCTTAATCATTGTTATATGATTACATAAAGATATCTATACAATAACTGATGCACCGCTTCATCAGTCATAGATACCTTGGTCTGTGGGTTTAACATTGTAATAGGATTATCACAAATATAAGCTGTACACGCAGCTTCGTCCGCGTGGAATTTAACTTTATTTTTCTAAAATAAGTATTATATCGTAGTAAAGTTAAAATAAGTAGTACATTAGTATCAGATATTTGTATTTCAATATCCGATATTTGACATCTACATATATAAAAATGAATTGCTGTTCGTCAGTCTCGCTAAAACTCGAGAACGGCTGAACCGATTCGTGAAAGTCCAGGAAAGGTTTAAACGGTGATAAATTATGAAGAAATTGCATGTAAAATAGTAAAAAGAAGAATTATATCTTCAGAATCATTTCTCATACAAACTGCTGATACCTGTCAAACAGGGTGCGTTCAGAAATTGTAAATACATACATAACATATATATAAACACTCAGATGTATGACTGATTCTAGAGGAAGGTTTATATATATACCACATGTACACCCGGACGAAGGCGGGGCGAGTAGCTAGTTAACATATAAAAAACACCGTCGAATTTAGAAGCTCGTAATTGTTTTGTAATTGTTTGAAAAACGGTTAATACACTCTGTTATGAGTCAATATGAAGCTTTCTTCAATTTTCCAGAGTACATCTGTTTGTACAGCGACCGGAGCCTGGCCCATATATAGCGCTAAATGGAAAGTTCGTTCACTTACCTCTTCATATAATAAGCATGATGGTTTCTTCACTTTTTGTTTGTCTTTTAATTAAGCATTTTAAGTGCTCTATACCAAAATGTAACACTTGTAAATTATCAGCTTAAACCTCAACGTTTAATGTTACAAATTCTGGTGTAAAATAAGAATTTATTGTTTAAATGCCACTGAGATGATTTTAAGTCGAAGTACACTTATTACTGTGTAAGGACCAAAGACCCACATGCCAAAGGAGAATGAAAAATAGAGACATAGTTAAAATTAATCGGTTAATCTATACATATAAATAAAATTGGAGTGTCTGTTTGTAATATTGAAATAACAGTTTTTTACTACATGCATATGAATATAAATACTGTACATACACCAAAATAACTTTTTTTACAATTTTTATCTGTCTGATTGTTCCGGCTAATCTCAGAAATGACTGGATGGATTTTGACGGGACTCTTATTGACAGGTAGCTGATGTAATAAGGACTAACTTAGGCTACTTTTATTTTAGAAAAATAAAGTAAAATTCCACGCGGATGATGTCGCGTATACAGCTAGTATACAGTATTTCTTTCAACCGATTTTTATGCTAACTAGAATTCAGTTTTTATATTCGATATGTTACACCCCTATATCGACTAGACTTTTTCTTACCAAGATTTCTAGTTACAATCCAATAAGGCTATTAATATGTGGGACCAGTGTCCGGTGACCCGCAGGACGTCCGCGCGCACCAGGACCTTATAAGGAAATGGTGTGCGTGCAGGCACATATTAATACTCAACCCAGGGATGCTAACAGTATGAGAGTCATTGTACAGGTACGAGATTTTGACCTATGGAAATCTGGATATACTATTTTTATAGCATACAGCTGTACCGCGGGTACAGCTAATATGCTTCGTCCGCGTGGAATGTAACTTTATTTTTCTAAAATAAAAGTGACCTAAGTTACTCCTTATTATATCAGCTACCTGTAAAAAAAGTACCGTGAAAATCGGTTCAGCCATTTCAGAGATTAGCCGGAACAAACAGACCGACAGACAGACAGACAAAAATTGCTAATATATTGCCGGCCTTTTAAGAAAGTTTTAATATCGAAGTGTATAATGTATTTTATATATAAGTATATATATATATATATATATAACAATAGTATCTATATCTATAACTCAAAGGTGACTGACATAGTGATCTATCAACGCACAACCAAAACCACTAGACGGATTGGGCTGAAATTTGGCATGCAGGTAGATGTTATGACGTAGGCATCCGCTAAGAAAGGATTTTGATTAATATTACCAAGGGGATAAAATAGGGGATGAAAGTTTGTATGAAACTTAGTCAATTTTAAACCGATCCGGCTAAGACTTTGCATGCATAAAGCTACTATGACGTAGGCATCCCCTAAGAAAGGATTTTGATATTATCCATTAAGGAATAAATTAACGCGAGCGAAGCCGCGGGCAAGCTAGTTTTCATAAGGATTGCTATTCCATTTTTTTCTGTTCTCTAGTCCAATCTTGCGCCATCTGCCACTTTCTTCTTCTTCTCTCCTTTACCCAAAGGTTATCTAGAAGAGATTGCTTACGCGATAAGACCGCCTTTTGTACCTTATTACTTATTATTTGTTTGTTCTTTGTTTAATTTTTTGTATTTCTGGTGCAATAAAGTGTTAATAAATAAATAAATAAAGGTTTGTTAAAATTGCTTACGCGATAAGACCTTTTGTACCTTATTACTTCTGCTTATGTTCTTTGTAATTTACTTCTGGTGCAATAGGGTTAAAAAATGAATAAATAAATATCCGTAATTTGAACTCTATGCAGTGCGTGTAGAGCCTACTACTAGAGCAGCCAGCCAAGTTCGTTCTAGAAACGCAAGAGCCTCTGGTATCTTCACAGGCCTTACGGAGCGACCTCACTGTTCCGAGGATTTGTGTTTATTTGGGCCACTGCAAACACTCCAGGATCACGTGAACGCCGTTTCTTTGTCTTCGAAGCAGCACCTACAAAGACTGTCTGTAGCTATTGTGTACGAGTTTTTTAATGGACAGTAGCCCTTTATTGTCACTATAATTATTTTAAAGTTTTTAGTATTTAGGTTTAGTGGATGTTTTGTTATTCTTTTGTTCAGGATTGTTGATTTTTAAGGCGATATTTTTATTTAGACTATACATAGGTATTTCATTAATCTATAGTTTTTTTTACATAAGTAACAGTAAAATTGCTACCAATTTCTCAAAATTATCAGGCTGTCCTGTGGGGAAATTCTTAAATTATTACAGACTTGCTTTTTTGCCGTTATATATAATAATAACAGATGCATTATGATAGGGAGCAACTTTCCAGTCCTTTATTATTAAATGTAACGTATTTTTATCATTGTTAAGCAATTCATAGTTGGCTTCACGCAATTTATACTTTTGCAAAAATATTCACACAAATGTTTCATATCTACAAAACAATTTTCAACCTTACTGCTTCGTTATAAAATCCATTACCCTCTGTTAGTAAGGGGTAACAGAACATACACCTATTAAGAGATTTTAAATCTTATTACCTTGAGTTTAGGTTGATTTTACATCGTGTTATACTCCTTAGGGTGTCCAACAGTGCGAAACGTCGCGTTACTTGTTTAAAATGAAACATATGAGTGATTGAAGTAATAAAGTGGGTCGATAAACTCTATAATGAATATTGTTATATTACATGAAGAAGGAAATATATTATCGAACTTTATTTCAAATGCATAAGGTGTTATTTTCCGTTTAATTAAACTATATAGCTTATATTTTATAGATTCTAAACAAATTTTAAATTTCGAATGACCACTACAAAAAGGTATATAATATTTTTTATTTCTTTTAAATTATTATTTGCTGTTTAGTGGACAGTATTATTAATATATATTTTTTTTATTTATATCTATTCTATATAATTGGTAGGCTTAGGTACTATGATATACTTTTGAATGGGGTGTACAATTAACTATTATACACAGAATAACTAAACTATATATATAAAAGAAACTAAGAAAATAGATTTTAATAATGCCATTTCATTTTTTACGCTAATTTATTTAAATTGCATTAAACAAAATCTTATTTTTGTTCACAGTTAATTCGTGAGACGCCAAATATTTTAGAGGTATGTACTGACAATCATTTTTATATACATTTTCTTATTCAATATTCGCTCTTCATATGTTGAGGAAGCCTCCCGAATGAACGGTAAATAAAAAAAAAACTATAACAATTCAAAATTGTTTAAATTTAAATTTATTTTGAATAAGGAATCTTCTATTCCATTTCTAGAAATTTCACGGTGGTCTACCTCCCAATTGTTAACAATGTGAATACTCCCCATCACTAACAATACCCACTTCCCCGTCATCCACAATGGTACCATCTAATCCTGAACAAGTAATCCACAAATTACAGTTACTGCCCGCAACAATTTACGTAACAGACGAGTTGCAAAGTTGATCCTAAGAATAATCTAACAGTAACTTATTTAATGTGCAGACAGGTTGAACAACCGTCACAGCGTACGCATTACAAGCAGTAGTACAATGACCATCCTTTTGAATATTTATCTATTTTTTAATCTGTATTTTTGATACATAAAATTACCTTATAATATTATATGGACATATCAATATGTTTGAAAATATTAATGCTGAGTAAGAAACTCAATACTAACTGAAATCTTTTGTAGAATGTAGAATCCTTTTATATATTCTTATTTGAATATTTCTCTATTTTTAGTCTGTATTTTTAATACATAAAATTACCTCATAATATTATATGTACATATTAATATATTTGAAAATGTTAATGCTGAATAAGAAACTCAGCACTAATTGAAATCTTTTGTAGAATACAAAAGATTACATAGTTAGTAGATTTAGAAATAGAAATAGAATCTATATTCGTAATTCAAATAAAATCAATAGCACTCTAGAATAATTATATTTTTTATTCTACTGTAAGATGATGTGTTATATTTTAGGATTATTGAGGATCCAAATTAAACAGCCAACTTAAGCATGTCTTCATTTAATAATGACTTACACCAATCCGAGCATAGACTAATACTCATAACATAATTGCACAGACTATAACAAACGTTACTCCTTCTACAACATCTACCACTTGTTTGGAAAGCATACTCATCACAAGAAGAATAAGCAAGAAACCTATGTGTTGCTCTTTTGAATAGATGTTCTAAACATCTTTTTATTACAAAGCAATGTTTTTAATAACTAATCACTACTGCAATTGTGTTTTTATTTGCATAAACGAATATTTCTGAAAACTTAACGTTCTTTTAATTATTCTTTTTGCAATCTGATACAATTAATAAAATTAACTTCCTTGATATCCACATAAATGTTATTACTAAATAAGTAACCTAACTAAATTGTGATTGTAACCTTCAGTGTTATGCATGGAATAAGTATATACTCGTATTTACTACATCCATTAAAAGTGGTGATGTATACATATTCATTACTCAGATATTGTAAAACCCATTAAGGCAAAAATAACATTACACGAATCACCAAACTTATACATCAGAAATTTTAAAAATTTTATTTTTAAATAGATATTAATTCAAAGTTTTGTGCAGAGTCGTACTACTGCTATTGTGATTGTCTATGTCCAGAGCGTCCAGTATCATCTTAGTTGATATCTAGGTATATTATATGGTGCAGTTACATTTGCCGGTTTTACATTATTTTATGTGTATTTACAGTTAAAATTGTTTAGTCCAGACTGCTCCGTGGCCGAGTAAATCAAGCCTAGCATCTTGATTTTTATTGCATGATGTCCATATTCAAGTGCATAGACCACTTTATATATGTGTGTATGTTTGTACGTAATCATTATATAGTATATAACAAAGTCCCTGTCACTGTCTGTCCGTCGCTATGTATGCTTAAATCTTTAAAACTACGCAACGGATTTTTAAGCGGTTCCTTTTTATAGATAGAGTGATTCAAGAGGAAGGTTTATATATATAATACGTGTACACCCGTGCGAAGCCGGGGTACTTAGTATTGTAATAAAAATGGATAATAGAACCCAAAATTTTTGAGTTCAAAGGTGGATATATCTCAAAATAATAATAATACATAATTCACACAGCGCCATCTAGTTCCAAGCGAAGCACACCTTGTCTTATGGATACTAGACAACTGATACAAATACATAGATATATTTTTTGTAAATACATACATAACAATATATAAAACACCCAGATATATAAAAACAAATTATCATGAATACAAATATTTGTAGCACAGTGCTAAACCGCTATACCACCGAGGCCAGAAACTTTAACTTGATACAGGCTCCAGTATAAAGGTACAAAACTTATATTTGACGACATAATATTAATATCATAAAGCTGATGATCGAGTTTGTTTGTTTCAAACATTTGTATTCATGTGATTGATTGTATCGGTTGGAGTGTTCTATATATATTATATATTTACAAAAAGGTAACTACTGGTGAAGGACGCTGTGTTCTTTATTTATTTATATTTATATATATAGTAATATAATTTAGACCATATATATTTAGCGAAGCATTAGTGAAAAATTTTGTTGTAATTTATATTTATATATATAGAAAAATAGCAAAATAATATAATTTAGTTGTAAGCCGATGTATATTTTGTTCACCCAACTGTACCACACCGTTCAAATAGCTCGATGTTTCATAGGAGATGTGTGCACCCCTTTATGTTTGTTATTTTACTTATATATAAATAGCAAAATTATATAATTTAGTTGTAAGCCGATATATATTTAGTTTACTCAACTGTACCACGCTGTTCAAACAGCTCGATGTTACATAGGAGATGCGTGTACACTTTTTGTTTGTTATTTTATTTTGAGACTGGATAATTATAAAAGAGCATTAAAGTGCGTCGAAGTCGCATTAATACTATGCTCGGGGCTGCGCTCACTTTATTTTTCTTGAATAATCGACGTCGTTAACAGTCGCTAGGCTTGCGGGAGTGGGTTCACTTATGTTAATTATATACATGCTAAGATCAACTTCAAATAATTATATTTTAAATAACACAAAATGTAATTTTCAATAATTTACTTCAACATTTGAAATTTTGTGATTATTTTCTATTTAGTTTTTTTATAATTATTAATTTTTTTATTAAGTATTAGATACATACACAAATTATACACTGCATCTTTAGGATATAAAAAGCATCGCTCCTAAGAGGGTTGGCCTCTGTTGTCTAGCGGTTTAGCACACCGCTTTACTTCCGATGGTCGCGGATTCGATTCTTCCCACGATGCAAATATTTGTATTCATGAGTATGAGTGTTTGTATCGGTCTGGCTGTTTCCTATGTATGTTATGTACGTATTGAAAAAAATATAAATCTGATTATTTCTATCAGTTGTCTAGTACCCATAACATAAGCTCGCTATATATAGATGACGCTATATTAATTACCCAGAAAAAAAAATGTTAATACATACCATCGCTCCCAAGAGTATCCTTCAATTTCGTGACACATCTAGGTAGTGAACTCTGAAAAAGGCGAGCATAATAGATCTATGCAGGTCGCAGTATTTCAGGTGTAAGCACCGGACCATAGCCCAAACCCCTCAATAAAAAAAGTATATATATTCACTTATCTGTGGCTTTAAGTTCCCGATCTAGATATTGTACAAATTCGATTAAAAATGTCAAAATAAGATCAGCCGATGTCGCAGGTAATCGTTAGTCATTATATAAATTGTGTCTTACAATAAATTAGTAATTATTGAATAGATTATACCTAGCGTAAGAAATTGGTGGAAATAATCAGTAAACCGAGTTTAATTCAACCTTCATAAGAACGATAATGTAATATTAATCTCATCTACGAAAGGCATGTCGGTAAAAATCTTCACATGTTAAAAATAAAATACCTAATAATACGACAATCCATAGACAATTTGTGGCATGATGTAGGCAGGGTTGCCAGGTATCCAACGCTTTACCGAAATGTTGGACATTTTAGCACTGTTCGATATGACAAAATACCAAAATATGAATGATATGTATTTTATTTATGGAAATTATTGCAATTGAAAACAATCTGTCGATTCAATTAACGTAATTAAAAAACATTGCCTGTATGTATTTATTGTAGGAATTTTGTATGGTCTTCTACTGTAGAAACTGCAAGAAATTGGGCCTAAGATGTCATGATGTAAGAAGAAGATGTGATGATAAAATTTCACTGCCACATTTCCCGAATAGTGAAGTCCTCGAGTGGAGACCGCGGACCGGAGGACGCAGCATGATGAACCCTCCGACGCGGTGGAGTAGACGAGGATCAAGATCGCTGTAAAGCATTGTATGCCGCAGCAGTCCAGGACTGATCGTCGTGGAGATTTTTGGGGGAAACCTTTGTTCAGAAGTGGATGTCTTCCGGGCTGAAATGATGATGATAATCTCCCGAAATATGATTAAAACAAGTGGTATCTTCAATAAGTGAAACAGATTTTTATACAAAGACCTAGATATATTGATTAAATTTTTACTATTTAAATTACCATATTTGATGCATTATCTGGATACGCTTGATACAATACTACTTTATCATACGATACGCATCGTTCCCCATCGCTTTTACTTTCATTATTATTCCTGCTATTTTTTATTTTGAAACTGGCAACCCTGGTTGTTAAGGCTGATGTTTTATCATAACATAACGTCGATTATCTTGCAATATTCTTTACATGAAATCGATTTTATCTACGGGACTGCAGTATAATCGAGTCTGTTATTACTCATAACGCTTATTCGAAGATTAAAAAACCTATTCGGCCCGCCCTTTAATAGGCTCTTTAGCAAAAAAGAATCAAATTATTGTAATGCGTGTAGAGTCTAGATGCATTTTATAGAGGCGAGTCTTTATGGTCCGACATAGATTATATTTAGGTTTATGGTTGAATAATTTAGTTTTAATTTTTATTACATCCTCTACGACAGTGGTGAAATATGTTTTTTTTTCTGTGCGTGTGTTCTTGGCATAGTGCAATATAAATTTTATACCATATAGAGCTTGTGCACGCGATTTTTAATTGCCAGTATGTTGGCATTGGAGAGACAAACATACGT